GCTAACGAAGCGAGGGAGACTTAACGACAACGGGCGCCGCTCACCTGCAGGAAATACTCCACGCGCAGGATGTTGCAGCCCAAGATGGAGGGTTTGAGCTTCTTGACGCGGATGGTTTTGCCCCGCCAGGACTCGGACATGCCCGAGATGATGTGGTTGCCTCGGACGCAGGAGAGTTTCTGGGTGAAGACCTTGGTCTGCCCGTTGGCCAGGTAGGTGTGCTTGGCCACGATGGCCGCCTTGGGCACCACGATGCGGGAACAAGTGTTCTCGAAGTCGGCGTTGATGCAGATCTCGTCACCTGGGCAGGGAACGAGCACCGGCAATTTAGGAAGGTCGTCCCCAACGCTCCCCGGCTCCGCAGAGCCACCGCTTGTCCCACCACCCCCGGCCCTCCCCCAGGGCGCAGCGCAGCCTCTTACCTTCACAAAAGCCCTTCCTGTCGATTTGCGCGCTGACTGACACGCGTCCGTCAGGAATGAACATACAGGACACCTTCTTCTCCTTCTTGGCAGCGACCGGGGACTGGAGAGAAACAAGAGCGTTATCGGGGTGAAACCGGCCCACCGCTCCCATCCCGCTCCTCCCTTCCTCCTGCCAGTTTTGCAACAGAAGCCTCCAGTTCCCCATGGGGCGCGAGCGCCTTGCAGCCGAGCGAAAGCAGAACAAGCGCCTCGCTCTCTCTGTCTCGGTGTAGATTTCCAGAAGTAACTAGGACTTCTTAAGAACTAAGTCCTTAATCCGTGCTGAGCAATAAAGCCTATTAGGGCAGTCTTAATGCCAGAGGTCGCACTGACCCCACCTAAGGGCTTTTCTCTCTCCCACCGCCTGCGACACCCAAACCTCCCGGGCTAAAGCAGCGCTCACCAGCAATTCCGGAGTGTTCACGTCAACAGGATCCATAACCTCGAAGCGCTTCTTTATCTCCTGAGTGGGAAAGGAGGGGCGCTCCAGGAAGGCCTTCACCCAGTAATCCACACAGCCGTACTTTCCCTTGAAGGTGGTACCCAGAGGCCTGTGGGAAGAGACACCTGTTAGACCCACCTGCGGCAACAGGAGAGTTTGCCGTAGCGATCCCACTTAGTTTTCTTCTAACAGGCAGCATCGTCTCATACTCACCCCTGGGGAAGCTCGAATCCAAATTTGTACTCGTATTTGTTCCCGGGTCTCAGGATGACAGAGCCGTCCCCGTCTGGAAAGAGAGGAGGAGGAGGGAGGCGTTAGCTGAAGCTCCGTGGGTTTGTTCTTAAGCGTGATCCTCCGTTCTGCTTACACAGGAGCGCCGCAGAGGCTCGAGCTGCGCGAGCTCTTCGCTAAGAGCCGCCCACACCTGTCCCCCAGGAACAGCCCCGGAACCCCTCGGTTTCTGAGGGCAGGAAAAGCGCCGCTCGTTTCATCTCACTTCTCCTTTCAACATCCCCCACCGGAGAACACGGTGTCCCGATGTGCTTCGGTCCCCGCTCCCTCTCCTCACCACACCCTACTTCCCCTTCGCGGGACTCTCCAGCACCCACTTCTCTCCCTCGCTATCTCTTTATCTCCCAGACTTCACGTCACCCCGCTTATCTCCCGAGACACTCTGCCAACTCCCTATCTCTCGCCTCCCCCGAAGCCGAAGGGAGCTCTCTCCGTGCCCAGGAGAGGAGACTCCTTGTCTCAGGGCGTGATCTGCGCTTGCCACTCCCTGACCACCACCCGTCCCATGCCCTGCGCCGCCGGGACACCCAGCCCAAGCCAACCCCAGGTACTCGCTCCCCGCGGGCACGCGGCGACGCTGCTCTGCCAGCCGCACCGACACCTCTTTGGCCGCTCGGCCGGCTTTCGTTTTAGCCCTCGGCTTCCAAACTTTCGAGCTTGACTTGGCCAAGCCCTGCCGTCCTGTTCACACCTTGCAACGCTTTATACTCATTTCTCCCAAGACTCAGCCACCGTCCGATCCCGCTTCTCTCCCGGCGCTGAGCCCCGACACCAGCGGAACACCGCAACTCCTCACCACACCACTACCCCAGTCGACGCGTAGACCAAGAGAACGCAACAAGAGACTCCAGCCTCGCTAGAGACCAACCAGCAGGACAGCCTGCCGCCCAACGGACCCCCTTTGAGCCCTTTCACCCCCCCCACCTCCCTCCTCCCAGCCCCAAATCCTCACCAATGGGCTGCTCTTCCAGGGTGAGGACGTCCTCGAAGCGCAGGTACTCCATCTCCTGCCTGCACTGCTGGGGGCCCTTGGCCCAGTTGACTTTGGCCACCCCGCAGGCCAGCACCTTGACGGCGCTGACGCGCGTCACCTCGGCCACCTCCACCAACACGCGCCCAGCCACCTTCTCCCCACTGCAGTAGACCTTCTCAGGCTCGCTGAAGGACATCAGGAAGGTCTTCACCTTCTTGAACATCACCATGGCTGAGGTGAGTGGGGGGCAGCGCTTTCGAGAAAGCAGCGAGGGGGCTGCACAGGGCAAGAACTGCTGGGGTTTTTTTCCCCCCTCTGGAGAGGAAAAAAAGACCTGAAAGGGTCTGGTTTTAGTCAGAAGGGGGATTTTTCACCCTTCGCTGGTTAGAGTTGAAGGCGTCGGGGCAGAGCTACAGCCGGTCCGCACCGCTCACCGCCCTCAACGCTTTGAGCGCGGCCCC